TTACAACCTTTTGTAGCTGATATTGCCATTACTTTATGGGGCCGAGATTTATTAGCTCAGTGGGGAGCTACATTACAAATTCCTACTATTTCAACTCCAGCAAAAAATATGATGTTAAATATGAACTATATCCCAGGAAAAGGGTTAGGAAAAAGGAAACAAGGAGTTGCTAGTTTTCAAGAACCTAAATTTAATCAATCACAGAAAGGATTAGGATATCCAAATTTATAATGAGGGCCACTGTTCCTCATTATGCTCTTCCCTTAACTTGGCTAACAGAAAAACTAATTTGGGTGGAGCAGTGGCCCCTATCTAGAGAGAAATTAGAAATTTAGAAAGATTAGTTCAAGAACAATATCTAGCTGGTCATATAGAAGAAACTATTAGCCCTTGGAATTCTCCAGTGTTTGCTATAAAAAAGAAATCGGGTAACTGGAGAATGATAACTGATTTAAGAAAAATTAATGAAGTAATTCAGCCTATGGGTGCTTTACAATATGGACTGCCTCTTCCCTCTATGATACCTAAGGGATGGCCAATTATTGTCATTGATCTTAAAGACTGTTTTTTTACTATTCCACTGCAACCTAAAGACAGAAAAATTTGCCTTTACTGTTCCTGCTAAACCAGGCAGCCAGAGACGGGTAAGAGACACCGGCCCCTGTTTCAACCTAAGACAGGCGCCCCGCCATAGTCGCTGGGTTAGCCCATGACGGGTAAGATCAGTAGGTGCGGTGTCCAACCTAAGACAGGTGCTGGTTTTATACCTGGTCAAACAGGAGAGCACCGAGGATTTTCTTTATCGGCCATTTGCAGTCAATGGACTTGTATGGGATGGGAGGCTATGGATAGGACCTGCTGCTTTTAGGCCATAATTGATTGAATCTACATTCTTTTGCTTTAAATTTTTTTTGTCATAGGAGAAAAATCAGAGTATGTAATCCAACATTTAATTGAAACTTTTAATCAAGTATTAAAACTGATAACACTCCTGCTTATAATTCTAAGAAAACACAAGAGTTTCTTAAAAAATGGAACATTAATCACATTACTGGTATTTCATAAACCCCCAAGGACAAGCTAGAATAGAAAGGGCTAATTTAACATTACAAACTAAGTTTAAAAAACAGAAGGGGGGAGATACAATGGGACGAATATCATCTCCTCGAACTCTCTTACAAAAAGCCTTATTTAAGGTAAATTTTTAAAATGCTAATGAAAAAAGAGAAACTCCAGCTGAAAGACACTGGGTATTACAATCCTCTCAAGAATTGAATCAGCCTATATATTATAAGGAACCTCTAACTAATGAATGGAAGAAGGGATTTGTAATTAGGTGGGGGCAAGGATTTGCTTATATCTCTACAGGATCAGAAGTGCTGTGGGTGCCCTCCAGAAACGTGAAACCCCAAGATTAGTCAAAAGAGGCCACACTTTGACGAGGACAAAGCTGCAGAATGGCAGATAATACCAGCTATTGGGCACATGTTTCTAATACTCTCTTGTTAAAAACTGTTCATTAGCTTTATAAAGTTTGGGGTCATAATATATCTCTCTCTAGATGTTTCAAGGCTATAGTTTTCATGGAGATATCAGTAACAACTTCAGGTTATCTTGATATTCCTCCCTGTCAGTTGCTTCCTTTATCTTTCTTAGAGAATGGATACATTGGAGCCTTGTTGGTTTCGCTCGTCAGCATAGAAACATCAAAAATTTAAGTTAGAGTAAGGAAGGCAATTGATTTATAACTGCTCATGCTAATAACACGATCTCATGGCATGGAGGAGGAATAGTGGAACTGGATCCACATTTACAGCATTCTTACCAAAATAATTTACAAAAAATAGGAACTGCATTGGAATATGTATCTCTTTGGATTGGAAATGATTTGTACAATCATATTAATAATGTTACTAGCCTTAAACTTAAAAGATTATATTATTCAAAATTATATATTTGTTTAAATTTTTCCCTCTTTTAACAACTGGGAGCTAGAGGGAAGAGGAAAGATCAGAGAATGGCCAAAATTATTGGAGCAGCTATTGCTGCCAGTTTAGGGCCTGTGTCAGGAAAAGGTAGTCTTACTCATTAACAGTGCGACCCAAAGGTATTAAAGGAGGTCAGAATTGCTTCTACTGTGGAAAGCTGGGCCACTTCAGCAAACAGTGTCACAGACAAGAGCCACAGATAGGCAAGGGAGTAGAGAGGAAGCTCCCACTCACTTGCTTTACGTGTGGATCTGAAAGACACTTGGCCAAGGACAGCCCACATCAGGTCTGCATGGCTGACAGACCCCAGCTCTCAGCTGAAAACAAAGGACACTTCAACGATTCAGATCCTCCCAGAAGAGCCATGGGTGAGCATTAACTTGCTGGTAAGAATATGTTTTCTGCTGGACACACGAGCCTTCTCAGATCCATCTCTTCCTGCTATTCCTTAGTTGTTGGAAATGACGGAAAACCTCATAAGCAGTTCTTTACTTCACCTCTGCCTTGCATGTGGCCTTCCTAGATGTAAAATAATTCAATAGTAAATGGAATTTGGCCCAGGTCTTAAGGACAATAAATGACATAGTTATGCCTCTACATCATGTGGTTCCTAGCCCTTTCACTATAATAGACAAAGTGCCAGCCAATAAGATTTATTTTAAGGATTATCTTCCCTCTGTAACTTGATTTGTGTCATTGTTAGAATCTCTATTTGGAATATTATTGCTTTTCATTGTTGACTCATGTACTTTTAACTTGTTAGTTAAATTTGTGTCTTCTAGACTGCAGCGGTTCCATGATGCATCTTCAAAGATATGAACGTGTATCCCTAAGCACAA